AGGGTGATGTAATGGCTACCAGGAAAACTTCTTTATATGTTAGGAATTGGAGAGCCGTCTCCCTCAAAGGCTCGAAAGGCTCTTTGGTGAGGGAGAGGAGGACTTTATTGAGGTCCCAGGTGGGATGACGGTGAACTGGGGGGGGGCGTAAGTTGGTAGCCCCTCTAAGGAAGGCTCGGATGAGGGTGTGGTGAGAGAGGGAACTGAGACCCTCGTAAGCAAGGACTGAAGACAGGGCAGCTACCTGACGCTTTAGTGTGTTAGGGGACAGCCCCTTGTCAAGTCCCTCCTGAAGAAATTCTAAAATTTGAGCTATGGAGGGGGAAACTGGGTTGATTTGAAGTTTGTTGCACCAACGACAGAAAATGGCCCAAGTCGCATTATACATTCGAATGGTTGATGGTCGTCTGGCAGCTAGGATGATGTCAATGACCTTATTTGAGAGCTTTCCTTTCCTCAAACTGCTCCGCTCAACCTCCAGACGGTCAGTTGGAACCATTGCAGATCCAGGTGTAGGAGGGGCCCCTGGGAAAGGGAAATCTTGTCTGGTGGGATCCTCCAGGGAGGGGCCACCGAGAGAATGCGGAGGTCCGCAAACCACGGCCGCCTGGGCCAGTGAGGTGCCACTAGGAGCAATTCCGCCTTTTCGTGGAGCAGCTTCTGAATAACCCTGGGCATCAGAGCCAGAGGGGGAATGCATGGAGGAGTCCCAAAGGCCATGGGCAGCAGAGTGCATTGTGATTCTCCGCTCCTTGGGATGGGTATTTTGAAAATAATCTCGGGAGCTGGGTATTGAGGGAGGAGGCAAACAGGTCTATCACCGGTTTCCCGAATATCCTTGTTGCCTCCCTGAACAGGGATGGGTGGAGGCGCCACTCTGATTGGTCTATGGTGACCCTGCTTAACCAGTCTGCTTGGATATTTGATAGCCCTGATATGTGCTCTGCCTTGATGGACAGAAGGTTGTTCTCTGCCCAGCGACAAAGGCGCTCGGCTTCCCTCATTAGCTGGATTTATTGTGTGCCCCCTTGTTTGTTGATGTGGGCTTTGGCTGTCACGTCTGTCAAAATAAGGACGTTTTGCCTGCGTACCTGGGGGAGGAAGCTGCACAGGGCCAGGAGTACGGCGTGAAGCTCCAGCCAATTTATACTGCACGACTGTTCTATTGCAGTCCATCTGCCCTGGGATGTGAGTGACTGGAAGTGGGCGCCCCATCCGTATAGGCTGGCATCTGTGGTGATAGTCAGCCTTTGAGGTTCCTTGAAGAAACAGCCCTTGTTGATGACTGGTCTTGCCCACCAGAGGAGGGACGAGAGAACCTTGGGAGGAACCCTGACCGGGAGCTTGGAATTGCTTCTGCCGGATCTCTGGTATGGGAGCAGGAACCACTGGAGGGATCTGGTATGGAGACGGGCCCAGGGAACAATAGAAATGCACGAAATAATTTTTCCCAATAATTTTGACAATTCCAGTAAGGGCACCCTCTTAACCAATTTCTGAATACTAAGGAGTCTTTCTGAAGACAGTTAGACCTTGCCTTCCACTGTGTTGATAAGTGCCCCCAGATGGGTTATCCGGGTAGAAGGAGATAATTGGCTTTTCTTCCAATTTATGAGGAACCTGTGTTCCTGAAGGGAAGTTAAGGTGGCCTGGGTGTCTTTCACTGCCTGATCGATAGATGGTGACTGAATCAAAATATCGTCTAGGTAACATTGGAGACGGATGGGGGTGTTTCTGATATGGGCTGCCAGTGCTGCCAGGACCTTGGTAAAGGTCCTGGGGGCGGAGGCCAGTCCAAAGGGAAGGGCCACGTACTCGAAGTGTTGGTTATTGTAGCAGAACCTTAGGAATTTGGAATGGGAAGGCTGAATGGCAATATGAAGGTATGCTTCGGTTAAGTCTATGGATGTGAGAACGTCCCCTTGCCTGATACCCAGTAGAAAAGATTGAAGGGTGTGCATTTTGAACTTGCGGTAAGTTAAAAAGCGGTTAAGTCGCTTTAGATCTAAGATGGCCCGCCATCCCCCCGAGTGTTTTGGGACAACGAAAAGGTGAGAATAAAAACCCTGTCCTCATTGGTCGGGCTGAACAGGTTGGATGGCACTTATATTAAGGAGGTGCTGGATGGCGGAATCCATCAGATTGCGTTTGACCGGGTCTCTGGAGAGGGGGGATGACATAAAAAAGTTTGGCAGAGTGGAATGGAACTCAAGGGCAAGGCCAAATCTAACTGTGTCCCTGACCCAAGAGTCAGAGGTAGAAGAGTCCCATATACTGGCGAATGACTTTAGACGCCCGCCAATGGGGATAGAGTCCCTATACCTATCTCAGATGGCGGTAAGGCCTGCTTCCAGATCCCCGAAAGGGCCTTTTATATTGGTTGCCCCTCCTGCTCCTTTCTCCCGAATCGAGTCTATCTTGGGATTGACCCGGTCTGAACGAGGGAGGCCTCTGATATCTGGGAGAGAAGGGGGCCTGATAGGAGGGCCGAAAGGAGCCCCTCCGAAAGGGCTGCAACGGCCTGAAGTCTGACCTTTGGGTGAGGGAAGGGAGGAATTTCTTTTTGTTCCTGGTCTCCATAAGTAAAGGGTCCAGGGATGGGCTGAACAGTTTGTCCCCCACTATGGGAGAGGAGGCCAGCTTGGCTTTGTTCTTAAAGTCCGCCTGCCAGTGCCTGAGCCATAGCAGACGGCGGGCCTGGACATGCGATGTAATTGCCCTAGCAGAAAATTTGACTGCGTGATATGTGGCGTCCGCCGAAAACTCAGCTGCGGTGGTGAGCTTAGCAATGTCCTGGTGTGCCCTGGTGTTAGAAGCGGGGACATGTTGCTTGAGCTGGTGCAGCCATCGAATTGATGACCTTGTAAAGAAAGATGCGGCCGTAGCCGATCGAATGGCCCATGCATCTGACTGATGGGCCCTGCGCAGGGCCAGCTCGGCCCGCTTTTCCTCCGGTTTTAGGGCCTCTAACGCCTCAGTCGGAGTCGAGGAGGATGCCAGGCCCACAATGGGCTCGTTCAACAATTTAGAGAAATCCAGATCCAAATTAAAGTATTTTTTGTCGGGGCTGGGGGGACCACTACAGACGCCAGTTGTTTTTGTACCAGATCTGCAAAGATAGGTGGAGCTGGAATAACCTCAGCCTCTACCACAGGCTGGTTAAAAATGAGATCCTCAGGTCCCTCCTCAGAAGGAGCGGGGTGGTCTGAGGGGGATTGCTTACTTAGACCTGAAATGTTTTTGGCCTTAAACAATAAGGATTTGAATAGTTGTGGCCTAAAGAGGCCCGCGAAGGCAGGCTGGTCAGGGGTGAGCCCCTCGTCCTCGGACATTTCTTTCATCCTCTAGAGGGTCTATTTCTGATAGGGGCTCGCTGTAGTGCATAGACCCCAAATCAAAGTCGTCTGGATCCATGAACTGATTGCCTTCCTCCTCCCCCTCTTCCACCTCCTCCTCCCGCCCTTGAAGGGGGGGCTCCCTATGCAAGGGTACCTGAGCCAGATGCTGTTCAGACCTAGGTAGAGACCTCACAGAGTGAGATTCCTGGTCAGAACCCGCCAGATACTGAGTGGGCCTGGCGGCTGGTTGGATGCCAGCTGCGATGCCTTGGCGAATAGCCAACTCCATCCAAGATCTTATCTTTTCTGGGATCTCCTCAGTGAGAGACTCCTCTTGGTGGAGACCAGCATCAGTCGGGGTGAAGGTGGCCTCTGGAGCCCTTCTGGCCGATGTTCCAGGAACCTGAGCCTGTTGTTCCTGAGATGGCAAGCTGCGCCTGGATGAGAAGGAAACATCTGGGGGAGGGGGGGTTGAGCAGAGGTAGTGGGACTGGAGGATGGAAGAACCTGAGGTATCTTGAGTGCTTCCTTAGATCTCCTGTCAAATTCTTTTTGCAGGGCCTTGTGGCACCTTAAGGCGTCCCTCTGGGCTGCTTTGGAGGTCTCCTTAGCCTGCTTGCGCAAGTGATGGGTTTTGGCTTTTGCCTTCAAAGAAGGTCCTCTAGAGGTGCTACCATCTGCCATTGCAATGACTTAAATGTAGCTGTAGTAAGTTAGAGATCAATATGAGGCGGTTGGCACGCCCAGGGCCTGATCTGCAGCAAAGACGGTTGCCCTGATCAATATTTACGTCCCACTTTTGGTATATTTTTTTGTTTTTTTTTATATATATATATATCTATGGCGATATATGATTATGTAGCCAAAGAGAAAACAATTGAGTCGTACCTCAGTGATAATATTTTGAGTATGAAAATATTATACTGTTAAATCTGAAATCAATATTATATTTAAGATGGATTGCTATAATTGTATCCCTGCTCCTGGGATAACGAAGAGGACCAATTAGCCAAATTTCAAAACACCTAGGCCCGGAGAAATTAAGGCTAGGGCCTGCAGCAGCCTCTCTGCACAGGCGGACACAAGGCCTGGGTGCAGCTGCTGCACTGCTGGAGAGAAGCTGTGGGGTTGAGCCAACGAGTACTCCAATTAATTGCAAGCCGAATTTAGAGAATCTGGAATAATCTCTGACAGAAAAAAACCAGGTGGGGGCCTGTTACTTCAATGAATTTCCACTCACACCCTCCAAATTAGGGAAAAACAAAATGGTGCGTGTCACGAGGAAGCCTCCAAAATGGCGGCCGCTAGGACAATGCGCCTCTGAGCAGCGTTTCCCCGCCTGGCAAGCTAAGCCGAAGCTCGGTTTAGAGAGGTGGCTAGGAAGGAGAGAATAGGCTTTCTCCTTTTAAGTAAGAAAACGGCATTCGAGTGTGGGGGGAAAATCGCGGTACGACTCAAACGGAGAAAGCCGAAACAAACCGCTGTGAAACGGAGCAATAAACAAAGCGGCAACAAATTAAAGGCAGAGAGAGAGAGAGGGATTTTTGGCTATGGGAGGTAGTGCGAGGATCGCTACTGACCCTCCCTTTGCCTCCCTTGGGGGCAAAAACTGCGCTTCCCCTTAGTGGCAAGAGTGCCAAATAGAGCAATTGCTCAGGGGCTATGGAGAAGGTAATTCAAACCTGAAAAAAAGCTGATCTAGCACTGATTGAGAGAGTTATGAGAATCCAAATTTCCTGCTTCGTCCAAGGAGCAAAGAACAGAACAGCCTGTCTCGCACGAGGCTGAGCAAAAACTGGGGAACACTGGAGAAGTCACGTGGTGGAGGAGGAGCGTTCCTCAATTCAAGCTCAGCCTAAGAATGCAGAGGCTGAAGCACCTCCCATTACTGGATGCTCTGAGCAGCTCATAGGAGAATGGGTCTGTAGCTTTTAACTTGTTGTAGGTCAGTGTCCTCTTTTGGCATGAGAGTAATATAAGCCTCTGTCCATGAGTTGGGTATTTTAGTTTTTGATAAGACTTCATTCATCACTTCAAGCATTGGGATACTTAAAGATTCCTGTAGGGTTTTATAAAATTCCTCCAGCAGCCCATCCAGGCCCGGAGCCGTTCCAGTATTTTGTCTCTTTAATGCTTCCATTAGTTCCATCATTGTTTTCCCTTCTAACATTATTTTAATTTCCTCAGATATTTGGGGTAGTTCCACTCTTTGCAAGTATTGTTTAACTTTTTCTTCATCGATATTCTCTTGACTGTATAGTTTTTCATAGTATTTCTGTACTACCTTTTTTTTTCATCATTTCCATTACAAATCTTTCCTTGGTCATCTATTAATTGCATTATCTTTTTCATTTCTGTTTTTTCAGTTTGTATGCCAACCATCTGCCTGGTTTATTTGCATTTTCAAAAAAAATTGTTTGGCATTCCTAATTTTTTGGGCTAACTCTTCTTTTTCCATCAACCCCATTTTGTGTTTAACTATGTCCATTTGATTTTTGATATCCTTTTTTTGTGGATATCTTTGTAAATCCTTCTCAAGTTTCTTGTAGTCTTCCTCTAGTATCTGTTGCATTCGTCTTTTCTTTAATATTTCTTTTTCTCGTGTAATCTATTATCAGTCCTCTGGCATAGGCCTTCATGGTATCCCATAGATTTTGTAGTGAGGTGTCCTCTTTGTTATTCTCTTTGAAGAAAAAAGCCAATTCCTTTTCCAATTTTTGTGTAAATTCTTTTTCTGCTTGCTCTTCCAAATAGCTCCTCCTCTTCCTGTGTCTCCTGGTTTCTTTCTATTATTTGTGTCTCCATTTCCATATCCTCTGCCATGTTCTGTATTTTATTCAAAATGTCCTCAATTCTTCTATTCATAGTGTCTTTTATCACCTGAAGTTCCACCATAATTTCTTTGCAAATTCCACTCATTTTTATTTTAATTTGTTCTATTCTTTCTGTCCAATAGTCTTGTATTCAATCCAAAGTCACTTTTCAGACTAAGAGTCCAATATCCAGGAGTCTTTATGTCCCAATATTAATCCATTTGGGTTTTTTTAAGTAATCAAAGGGTAAAACCTTCATAAATTCCTCCCCCAGTTTGATTTTATATTGTATCTTTCCAGGGTCCGTTAATAGTTCAATTCCTCCCTGCCCCCCCATTCTCAATTCTCCTTAAATCCGGTCTTTGTCAAAAAGTTTAGGGATCTGTAGTATCTTCTTTTGACAGCAGGTGGCACCCTTTAATCAATTTTCACGTTTCTTTTCTTTTTACTGTTCTCAACAAACTTTGCCAATATTTCAAAAAATAGATATATATTCCTTTTTTTATAAGTAGATTACTGCATTTTAACCATGCCTATCCAAAGCCATGATCTGCTCAGTCATAAAATCAAATTTTTAAATGTTCTTTTGAAAATCCTTTATTTTGCTTTACTTCCGTTTTTCAGTTCTTAAAGTTAAGTTTCTAGTATTTTAAAAATTCTGCTTAAATATTAGATTTGCTGCCAATTTAAAAATCTTTGTGAGTCCTCTGTTTTAATTATCTTTGTCAGGGTTGCAATTAAAAAATTCAAAAATATTTTGAATCAAAAATATTTACCGTCTCTTTGTTCCTGCACAGTCTTGGGTATTCTGACTGTCTCTGTCTTCATGGCAGTCATTTTGGGTGCCACTGAAGCTCGTCTTCAGATGAAAGGACTTTCCATGTCAGGGAGGAGAGATGCAGCTCTCCTCTACCTGCCAGGCAGTCCCCCTTTGCTTCACCACCTCTCCAGGGTGGCTATGGCCTCAATTGGGGCCCTCCAATGAGGTGAGCTTGGAATGGGTCACGGAGGTCGCATTCCTCGCTCTGAAAGCGACAGAAGTCCAGCTGGAAGTCCAAGAGTTCATACTTTCTTGAACGGGGAGGAGAGGCAGGACCTTACAAACTCTCCTCTTGTCTAGTATTAATCACATTTAGACTATAGGAATATCTTGTATGTAAGTTTGCCCTTGAAGACTATTTGGAAACTACTATTAGTTTAGCAGTAACATTGGATTCCATTTCAAAACTGCATTGGAAGGATACTGTATTTTAATCTGTTGGAATTAACACTTTGTTGATTGTTGAAAATAGTTTTTAAAAGTTTCCCCTCTAGTGGCAAGAACAGTTTTTTTGTTGTACAGCACAGTTTAATGAATGTGAACAACATATGAGCACCACCAACAAATGGCAGCTTTTCCCTTTAAGTACAAGTCACGGGAAAGAGTGATTCAGCACCAAGGATACGTTCTCTCATTTCATTGAGACAGATTTCTCCTTAAAATAGTGAATGTGTTAGTTGATAATTTCACTTAATTATAAGAGGGCAGCAGATTGACTTTAGGGAGTAGAAAAAGTTTTGTTGCATGGGGGGACAGCATAAGATTTCCTGAGGCTGGTTTGGATTATTCTGCTTAGTTGGTGCTCTGCCTGCATGATTACTAGAACTACCTATTTAAATTATTTCATAATGAAAATACCTTAACAAAAATCAATCCCTGCTTAATTTGTTTAATTTCAATTTTATTGTCTCTTATCTTAAAATATATTTCAAACAGTGACTACCATATACCATCATATGAAACTGACAAATATATTCTGAAATTGTTTGGCAAAATTTCCCAGTTTTATCTTGTGTTTGTGATTTTGGCTTACTTTTACAAAGCATGAAAATCAAGTAAAATGTAATAACTTCAATGGAAGCTGAGAATGTGTATAAAGTTTAACTGACATAGACAAAAATATCTGGCTGAAACAGTTTAATATTAATTCAGCTGTTCAGTTTTCACAATAACATTTATTTAGCTATTTCAATTTTCATCTTTTTTTAATGAACTGTAGGAACATCATCTCCAGCGGGCCATTTCAGCACAGCAGGTATATGGAGAGAAGCGGGATAATATGGTTATACCAGTCCCAGAAGCAGAAAGTAATATTGCTTATTATGAATCTATATACCCTGGAGAATTTAAGATGCCAAAGCAGCTTATTCACATACAGCGTGAGTATATCTTTTAACTGAATGTTTAAAATGAACCAGATTGCTTTTTAAAATTAAACAGTTTTGTAGATTCACAGTCGCCTTTGGATATAAAGAAAGGATAAGGTTAGGGTCATGTAAGTATTCGGACATCCCAAAGGTGCTTTTTCAAAGAGGCAACTGGACTTTCTTGTTTTTTCTTTGAAGACATTTCACTTCTCATCCAAGAAGCTTCTTCAACTCTGACTGGATGGTTGGGAATGGAAGGATTTATACTCCTTGCTGACAGCTGGTCATTTGTATTCCTTTAGCGAGTTGTTAAGGCCACCTAGAGGTTTATCTGTGTTATCAGGGTCACTTGAGTGGTGCAAATGGGTGTGGAGCCTTCTTGGAACTGTTGAAAGGACTGTGTTGTAGACTGGAGATAGATGATGTTATATCCCTCACCCTCTGTTGAGAGAGGGCTGTTCAATTTTGACACAGATTGCCTCTTTGACCCCTCTTTCAAACCAGCAGTCCTCTTTGTCCAAAATGTGGACTTTGCTGTCTTCAAAAGAGTGGTCTTTGTCTTTTAAATGCCAGATGGACTGCTGAATCTATTCCTGATGTGTTTGTTCTCCTATGTTGTGCCATGCATTTATGAAGTGGTTGTTTCTCCAAAGTACAGATCTGCACATGGCTCACTGCATTGTACTGCATATACCATGTTGCTCAGTTTGTGTTTGGGTATTTTATCCTTGGGGTGGACAAGCTTCTGCCTTAGTGTATTCTTGGGTTTGAAGTGTGCACATATGTTGTGTTGGCTAAAATCCTCCTGAGTTATTCCGATATTCTGATGAAGAACTCTGAAGAGCTGCAGAAATGGAGGTCACATCCCAAAGCCCCATTTATTTCTTCAGTCCCTCTAAGGAGCTCCCCTCTGCTCAATCTCTGTTGTGTGTGTGTGGGGGGGGAGACAGGTAGTTTCTGTAGACCGTCTCCTGTGCCTGACCCATTCCCTCCCTTGCAAAATGGAGAGTTTGGAGAGGAAAGGATTACAAGAGAGTAAGCAGGCACACAATGGGGAATACATTGGGCTGTTTGCATGGTACACTCACAGCTGCCGACACCTGCACATTTCCGGGGGGCGGGGTATAGGACAATGCATACTGACTGTAATGGCAATCACGTGACTAATGGACACTGTAATGGTTCTAAATGGGGGCATTGGTTATAAAGTTTTTTTTTCAGCACCATTCTAACCTCAAACGGCCGCTGAAGAAGGCTGGGAATAATGGGATGGATCTATCAAGTCTGTCTTATTCACCCTGAAAACAACACAGTTAAATATGTGTAACTAAAAGGGATGTAAAAGTATGTAAAAAGTAGTGGTGTAAAAGGGAAGGCTTTGGTTATATTAATCACAATGTCTGCAGCTGGTCCAATGAAAAACTGTTCAAAAGAGATGGTTTGCATCCATCAAAGAAAGGGACTGAGTTACTTGGCATTAAATTCACAGATTTCCTGGAGAAACATTTAAACTGAACAGCGGGGACAGAGAAATAATTGATACAGAATATTTCTTTCCCCAGCAATCTAAAACTAATAGGGTTATCAGTGCATGTAACATAGATGTTTGTGCAGGTAAGAATATCAACCTTGCTGTCAAGCAAAATCAAGCATTTAATAGTGAGTGCCATACCATGTGAACTAATCATATGGGTGGTAAGGAAGTAGGAGTTATTTAAAAAGTAAACACAGGGTCAGTCAAAAAGGACTCAGATGTCTATACACCAATGCACAGAGTGTGAGGAATAAACAAGGTGAATTAGAAATTCAAGTAAATGAGGGCAAATATGATATTGTTGCCATTGCAGAAACTTGGTGGGATGAAACCCACAAATGGAACATACAGCTAGAGGGATTTAAATTATTTAAAAGAAATAGACCAAATAAAAGAGGAGGTGGAGTTGTACTATATCTATATCTCTACAGAAATAGAGTACAACAATGATGAAAACTGTCTTGAATGCATTTGGGTCAATATAAAAAAGGGAAAAAATGACATTGCCATAGGTGTACACTATAGGCCACCCATCCAAACAGAGGAAATAGATGAACTTTTTGCTAGTCAGTTAACTTAGGTATGTAGGAAGCACATCACAATCATAATAGGGGACTTTAACTACCCTGACATCAACTAGGAGACAAACTTTGCATCAAGTGGAAGATCAATCAGGTTCCTGACAAACGTAGCAGACAACCTTGTCTCCCCAAAAGTAGAGGAGGGAACTAGGGGATCAGCCATATTGGACTTAATTCCCACTAAGAGAGATGAAATGATAGAAGGTGTTGAAGCTACAGGAACCTTGGGGGCAAGTGATCATGCAATATTGGAATTGAACATGATGCGCAACACAGACACAAAAACAGGTGAAGTCCCTTTAATTCCTTCAATTTGGCTTCAAAGCTCCAAATATCCTTGACTGGAGACAAAAAACTCCCCCACAAACAGTTGCAAAAAGGAGGAAATGCCATTTAAACTAAAAATACCTATAAATTATAACTAGAAAAAACAACACAAACCACACTGAAGCAATTAAAGGAACCAGGCAGGATAAGGGCTTGAAGACATCCACAGATATTGGAACACACACTGGGAAGGACACCAAACTCAGGTAAGAACGGACAGACTAGAAATATTTTCACGCTTTGTTTCCACCACTGGCTCATGCACAGTCCGTCCTTTTAAATAGTTCTCACAGCTGCAGCCCATGAAGGGGATCAAGGCCCTTTCCTACCCCAGAGACCACACCATTCACGTTTCTCCCTTATCCTCTCCTCCCTGCATGCCCTAGGATGGAGAGGCAATGGGCCTGGGGCCTGTGCCCTTCCCCAGCCTCCTCCACAACCTCCGTAACCACACTTTCACTCCCTGTAGGCTGTTCCTCCTCTCCCTCAGAGTCAGTCTCCAATAGGGGCATGACAACCACATTTGGAATACTGCATCCAATTTTGGTCACCACGATGTAAAAAAGATGTTGAGATTCTAGAAAGATTGCAGAGATCAGCAACAAAGATGATTAGGGGACTGGAGGCTAAAACATATAAGGAACAGTTGCTGGAATTGGGTATGTCTAGTTTAATGAAAAGAAGGACTATGGGTGACATGATAGCAGTGTTCCAATGTCTCAGGGGTTGCCACAAAGAAGAGGGAGTCAAGGTAATCTCCAATGCACCTGAGGGCAGGACAAGAAGCAATGGATGGAAACTAATCAAGGAGAGAAGCAACCTAGAACTTAGAAGAAATTTCCTGACAGTTAGAACAATTAATCACTGGAACAACTTGCCTCCAGAAGTTGTGAATGCTCCAAAACTAGAAGTTTTAAAGAAATTGGACAACCATTTGTCTGAAATGGTATAGGGCCATGATGGCGAAACTGATTCACGGGGGTGTGCGGTGGAAATTATCCAGCATTATGTAAAAAGACAGAGGACATATGTTTACAAACTGATTTTATACATACAAAACTAATTTAAAGCTTTCTTGCAATACATATATCAAACTTACAAAGTTCCATCCTGACTAATTAAGCCATTAAATTTAAGCCGCTCCCTCCAGCTTATCTTTATAGAACGAAGTCTTTTTCTTCTCAGGGGAGCCTGTCAGGTCTCTTTTCTTTAAGAAGTTCTCAGCCTTATTTATATCCATGAAAAAATGTCCCAAAGTTTTTGTGTTAGAGTTAGACATTGTAAATTAACCTAGAGCAAATCCTCATAGATTAAAGTTTCCTTCTCTAAGATGACTATCATATCTTTTTTAATGAAAGAATTCTCGACCTTGTCAGTATCCATGAAGAAAAAGTCCTAAACTTGACCTCTTGAAAGTTGTGAATTTACTTGGCACTCTTGTTTCAGTTGCACTGGGAGAGTTATATTCAAGCCATCATCATAAAAAAAGCTGATATCAGATTTATATTCCAAAGATACAGTTAGGTTATTCGCGTTGTCCAGCATTCGTAGAGTTGACACAGTGGGTTGATAATTTTCTACACCTAATTGTGTCTCTTGTTCTTTTCTAATACCTCTGTATAATTAATATCTTCTAACTTATTTATGAAAAGAGCAATTTTCTGTATGGACTTTTCAAAGATTTTCCTTGACAACAGACTCCAGCTCAGAGTTAAACATCTTGATAGCTCCCTCTGGTGGTCATAAAATGTTATTTATTTATTTATTCCTTTTTCTAGCCAATCAGAGTTCATGAAAATTGGCAAATTTCAACCTCCCACAACAAAATAGTACAGGGCTACAGATTATTTTAAAAGTAGTAGATTAAAACCACAGTTTATATCCTTATATTTCAAGAGAAAAAATATTCCACGTTTCCTTATTTTGGCTGCCTCTTCCTTGTCGTTTAGCAATAAAGAAGTCTCAAAAATGGTGTTCAGACATTCAAGAAGAAATGATAGGCTGTAACTAAAGAGAGCTTCTTTTAACAAATAGAGATAATAGTCTCATGAATTGATTAAGAAATGAAGGGCACAGCTTATTGTCTATTTGAAAAATAAATTCCAAAACAGCTGTTTTATCCAACAACGATGTAATGTCAGCATTCCAGTGAACCTCCATTCCAATCAGTAACTCCGAGACAAGCATAATCTCAAAAGTACCTTTATTAGAATAGCACCTGGCACATCTGTGGAATCTCGAAACTAAATTTTCCCGGACTTCCCACAATGTCCCAAACTGCAATCCATCCCCTTTTCCCCCATCATAACATCACATGGACCAATCATGATCCATCCCAGTGTAAGATCCTTTTTCTCTGCTACGCCACACTTAATAACCTTGAACTAAGGAAATAATTTTATTTTGTCTACTTAGAACGACTCAATTGAAATCACCCCCCTCCCACTTTCTTAGGCAATGTGACAGTGTGGAATATGGCTTCCAAAGCTGACAGGCGTCCCCCCTTGAAAAGTTCACCTCCTAAAAGTGATAATCAACAAAACACAACCAGGGGTTGTTAACCCCCTCTC